AAGGAGAGAATCCTTTTATCCAACATGTTCAAAGGGCTTTAACTCACACTGACTGTCTGACAGGGTGTGAGCACACACATGATGCTCATGTTCAGTTCATGAATTCCCTCTCTGGCTGCAGGCAGAGCTCAGCACTCACCCTACACCTGCAGCACGGGCAGCCCAGGCTGTGCTGCCCTTCCAGGTGACTTTGGAAAGCACAGCCCAACACCCAAAGCCACCCAAGGCACCAACACTGCTTGTCCATGTACCTGAAAACACTGATTGTCTSTGCTCTGCAGTAAAAACATGACACAGCTTCAGCATGCAATGAGAGCCACATGGCTGTGAGTTGCACATCTTCCAAGGTTTAATAGACACAAAGTGAGTCCATTGCATTTAAACACTACAATGATTTCGTTCTATTGCATGTCCTGACCCAATTACATTTCTCAGAGTACAGTATTGAATAAAAGTTCGGCAGCTTTAAAATTAACAAGTGTGTGAAATCTGTAAGTAAAATAAGCAGCAGCAATAATCTGGGGGATTTTATCAAGAATAGCTAACTTTGAAGTAATAAATACATTCYRAGGTGTGGTTTTTGCTGTTCTCCTRGTTCATTGCTGTCCATCCAGTCACATTCTCATTGTAGGGTAGGAGATCCTCAAGCCTTTCCTGCCTCTCACCAGGAGAGCTCCCAGCTCCGTGTCCCGGTGCCTGTCCCTGTCCTGCTGGAACTGGACACTGTGCCAGGAGCTCTGTCCTCGTGCCGTGTGCCCCCAGCTCCCGTTCTCCWGGGGCACCTCAGGGTGTTCCAGACTCGGTGAGCCTCTAGGAGAACAGCTGAGCTTGTCTTCTGTTACCTGGGAGAGAGTCAGAGAGGAGAGGTTACTGTCAGTGACTGGAGTGAGTGCCACAGCACCCACTGGGTTCCCTCTAAACAGGAATTCTCTGCTCCCTTTAAACAGGAATTCTCTGCACAGCCAGCAGCGGCTGCAKCTTGGGGACAAGGCTGTCAGGTGARCAAACCCAAAGSAAGAGCAGSAATTTTCCCCAAMACTGACATATATATGAGTTTCAGCGATGATAATAAATCTTCAGCCAGGCTTAAAGACTGAAGGGTGGGTTACTGGAGGTTAATCCACCACAAGTCCCCATGGAGCACGCCACGTGAAGAACATCTGCCTCCACTTTCTGAGCACAACCTACAAAATAGGATTATTGTCCCCTTGAGAGCAGCAGTACAGAAGCTTTTCTAAATACCTGCAAGTGCTCAGCTATTGGCCAGGGCTGCCCAGTGCCAGTCCCAGTGCCCGGTGAGACAGAGCAGCCATCCCCAGTGCTGCTGCCCCAAAGTGCCCTGCCCTACAGAATGGAGAACTCCTGGGGCCCTTGGGACAGCCAGTGTCCCTCCTGGTGCCACACAGCTGTCACCAGCCCTCCTGGGGCCCCTGGGACAGCCAGTGTCCCTCCCCAGTGCCACTCTGCTGTCACCAGCCCTCCTGGGGCCCTTGGGACAGCCAGTGTCCCTCCCCAGTGCCACTCTGCTGTCACCAGCCCTCCTGGGTCCCTTGGGACAGCCAGTGTCCCTCCTGGGGCCCCTGGGACAGCCAGTGTCCCTCCCCAGTGCCACTCTGCTGTCACCAGCCCTCCTGGGGCCCTTGGGACAGCCAGTGTCCCTCCCCAGTGCCACTCTGCTGTCACCAGCCCTCCTGGGTCCCTTGGGACAGCCAGTGTCCCTCCTGGGGCCCCTGGGACAGCCAGTGTCCCTCCCCAGTGCCACTCTGCTGTCACCAGCCCTCCTGGGTCCCTTGGGACAGCCAGTGTCCCTCCTGGGGCCCCTGGGACAGCCAGTGTCCCTCCCCAGTGCCACTCTGCTGTCACCAGCCCTCCTGGGTCCCTTGGGACAGCCAGTGTCCCTCCTGGGGCCCCTGGGACAGCCAGTGTCCCTCCCCAGTGCCACTCTGCTGTCACCAGCCCTTGCAGGGCCCTTGGGACAGCCAGTGTCCCTCCTGGGGCCCCTGGGACAGCCAGTGTCCCTCCCCAGTGCCACTCTGCTGTCACCAGCCCTCCTGGGGCCCTTGGGACAGCCAGTGTCCCTCCCCAGTGCCACTCTGCTGTCACCAGCCTTTGCAGGGCCCTTGGGACAGCCAGTGTCCCTCCTGGGGCCCTTGGGACAGCCAGTGTCCCTCCCTGGTGCCACTCTGCTGTCACCAGCCCTCCCAGCAGCTGCCCTGGGCTCAGGGCTGGTGCCCTGGCAGATGTAACTCCTGGCAAAAAGGAGAGACTCCTCACCCATACCCCTGCTGAAGGAGGGACTCACACCAGCCCTGTCAGGTCACACTGTGGAAACCTCAGAGCAATTCAGGGGAGGATCCATTTGCCCTCAGTGAAGGAACCAGAAGATGCAGGAACAGTTTGGTGATCCAGTACCAGGTGAGAGGATGGCACAGAGCCCTTCACTGCCATGACTGACTCCAGAACATCACTGCACTCACTGCCAGGGCAATCAGCTCACCAGCCCAAGAGCAGAACCAGCCCTGAGTCTGTGCCACATCAACCCAGTGAGCTGCAACTGCAGGAGACACCACCTCACATCTGTGCTCCTGACACCACAACACTATGGAGGAGCAGATAAAAACCTCCAAACTACCCACAGTTGGGGTTTGTGACTTACAGAGCAAATGAACCCAGAGCACCAAACACAGGAAGGGAATCCCATCCCCAGACTGCTGACAGGGCAACAGCACTGCTTCTGCTGCAGGGGACCCAAAGTGACACCCATTTGCTCAGACTCAGCATCCAGAATGATCCTCAGCATTGCCTGCACAATGGGGAATGCAAAGAGCTGATTCAACACCAGGAACATCTGTCCCAAARGCTATATTCCAGAGAAGGGCTGCAGTCAGCTTTCAAACACTTATTTAACAGAAACTGGGAGGTCTCACACCAGGGCTCCACTGCCTGCAGTCAACAGAGAATAAATCCATACCTTTTCTTGCAGAAGAATCTATTAATTTGTCTTCTGATGAACAGAGAGACTTTCAAGAACACACAACAAACTCACTTGCAGGTTTCTCACCTTACAGCCTTTCYGAGGCCTAGAGACCTGGAACAATATCCCTCAAGTGGCTTTGAAAGCACTGACCCTTTAGAGACAGATTAGAGAGAGAGATCTTGTCTAAATGGGAAAAATGCATTTCCTGGCTGAGGAGGGAACAGCAAGCCCTCTGGCACTTGGATTCTTTGGGGCTTCTCACTTGGAGGAAGAAAGAATCACAGCAGAAGTGTCCCCTGTGCATGGCAGGGGACATGGGCACACCTGTGCATGGCAGGGGACATGGGCACC